CAACAGTGCCTCTTGCCGACGGCGCTGAGTGGGAGGTGCTGGGCCACTTCAACTGGTGCCTGAGAGATCGATGTGGCTGGCCGGCTAGCCCCCTCAGCTCCCTCCGGCCAAGGAAGCGCACGGGCATTGATTTTCACATCTTGGATCTTCGGGCTACAGACTTAGTCTGCCCCCGCTTTTTGGGGATCCAGCACCACTTCCACAGTCACACTCAACAGCTCGCCTCCATATAACGGGCCACCGAGACGCTGGCGGCGATACGCTGGAAGAAGCCAGTCCTGGAGTTATGATGGTGGCGAAGTGCGTCAAGGTGCAGGACACCACAAGAAGTCTCATTTGATCCTCCTTCTTCTGCTGGCATCGGTCAAACAGTATCGGCTCGACCAGAACTGGGGCGCTGCTTGGAAGCTAACTCAGTTATCGATGCCGCCGTTTGCCAAGTGGCGGACAAACAAAGGACTCGATGATGAGTCAGTGGAAGCTCCGAGACGAGGAGACGTTGACCAAGAGACGCCAGGACCTTCCATACGGAGTCCGGGCTTCCGGCGGACGGCAGGTCATAAACCGTCTGCGGAGTTTTTACCTTGCCCTCTCCCTTATGAGTGGATCCAGCCTCAACGTCCCCAGGGTTCCAGTCGGCGCGAGCAACGCTTTCGTGAGCGACGGGCGCTTGAATTGTTGGTGCTTCCCTGAACTGAGCTGCGGCTGGAGCAATGTCACTTCGGAACCCCGTACCGGGTTGCTTTGTTCCTCCGGCGCTTTTGGTCCTTTGGGTCGACGCTGTCGCTGTAAAGTAGAGCGTGAGAGGTCGGAGGGTGCGCTGACGAGTAAAGCAGCAGCGTATCCTCCATCCTTTTGTGAGGAAGTGGCGCGCCTGACTTTGGAGCTTGCTGAAAACAAGTGTAGGGCCCTTGCTACGAGTGGCGCGCCGCTTCTTGAGCAGCACACGTCGGTTGAGACGGAGGTCAGGGGCTGTAGGTCTGCCCAGCATTTTGTCAGTCACCTATGGTCCACTCAACTAGCGGAAGCTCTGCCTTGGAAGACTATTCGGGCATGTCAGTTTTTTCGTGCTAATCACAAATTTTGCTGGAGGGCCTTGGTTCAAATTGTGCCAATGAATGCAAGACTGGCAGTTTTTCAAGGCTCGCTAGTCGCCTTGCGTTCCCATGCAAAGGGGCATAGCTCTAGGCAAGCTCTAAATAGGATTCTCAAGAAGTTTATGGCATTTCAGTTGGCAAAGAACGTTGTTGCTTCTGGTTTTCACTGCCCCGCGTGGGCCCTCAGGGCTGACGACGCGTCATGGCAGAAGCGGGTCCGACCTCCTCGACCAGCTTTAATCCACTGGTTTCTGGCTCTGAAAACGGGACAAAGTGCGTTGGCGCAGGACGCCCTAGACAGTTGTTCCGGAAATCTCAGATCTTGGGGCCGGTGGCTACTTTTCGGCCATTCTACGGTTTTGGCTTCTAGTGCTGGCTACTCTTCAGTCGGTGTCTGGGCCGCCCGCAACAGGCAGGACCTAGAGCAGGGACGAGTTATCAAGACTACAGCTGCAGTGAGAGAAAGACTGTGGGAAGAGTTTGCCCAGTGGATGGAAATGGAAGAGGCAGAGATGGTTCCGTTGGCCCAACTGGTGAGGAGAAATCCGATCGAAGTTGCGATTCGTCTCGAAGAGTATGGCCGAGTGTTGTACGAACGGGGCGAGACGCGTCGCAACTACGCAGAAACGGTCAACTGGTTTCAGAGACACCCTTTTCTCAAGACGTGCTTGGCCGGGCCTTGGCGCCTCTTGACAACGTGGGAAGCTCTTTGTCCAAGCAAGGCGCGCCCTCCTTTTCCACTTCCGTTGCTCAAGGCAGCAGTGACGACAGATTTCGGCTTGGGGATGGCATCGTTTTGTGCTGCTGATGTTGATCGGCTTTTACGCCTTATTGCGTCCCTGCGAACTCATTGCTCTACGAGTAAGCGACTGCTTGATGACATCGGAGACTGGGCTCTGCAACGTGGTCTTTCTCAAGCTCCACCTGGTCAAATCCAGAACTCGAGGGGCATGACAACAAGGTGTAAGGTTGGATGCGCAGTTCATCGTGAGGTTTTGAAGCAGAGCATAAGAACCATGGCACCGCAAGAGAAGCTCTGGCCCCACGCTTCTTCCCTTTTCCGGAAGCGCATGCAGCAAGTTCTGCAATCGTGTTGTAGCTTGCCTGATGTTTGTGTGCCAAGTTCCTCGCGGCCCGGAGGCGCTACCTCTTGGTTTAGGGAACGGAGTGAGGACCTAGTCCGGCTCCAACGGCGCGGTAGGTGGATGCACTTCAAAACACTGGCCCATTATATTCAAGAGCTAGGGTATATCAATGTCCTTGATTCTTTGACCCTTGCAGCGCGTGTTAAAGTGCAGGACCTAGCAAACCAGCGTGAATCAGCTTGTCACGAAGCGGAGCCCTCGGCTGACCTGAGCACGCAGGTCGAATGGTTGTTGGCTAAGTTTCGCACTAAGCGCTGCGTTCGCTCAGGATTCCGCTCACTGCAAGGCTTACAGCGCACCCGTCCCACCTAGTTTCAAGATCGGGTAACGACAGCGCCAAGCGCGCGCTTAGTGCCGTGTGCATGGGGGAGGCATCGAATGTGCGCTCCGATTTGCGTCGAGTGTGCACTCCTAGTGCGTCGAGTGTGCGCTGGTAGCGTCGAGTGCGCGCTCGTAGGCGTGTTTCGAAGCAGAATTGCTAAGCCGCACGCATGACTTACCCTAAACCCTAAACCAATAAACCTTAAACCCGAAACCCTAAAACTCTGAAACGGTAAAAATGATCCTAAACCCTAAGCCCCTAAACCTTAAACCCCTAAACCCTAAACCCCAAACCCTTAAGCCAAAAACCCTAAACCCCAAACCCGAAACCCTAAACCCTTAAACCCTGAAACCGTAAAACCTGAACCTAAACCCTAAACCCCAAATAAACCCTAAGCCCTAAGCTGTAAACCCTAAGCCCTAAATGCTAAACTTTAGAGCCTTTGCATTCCAAAAAATTAAACCCTAAACCCTAAAACCTGAACCCACGACCCTGAACCCTAAACCCGAAACCTTAAACCCTAAAACCCTAAAACCGTAAAACCTGAACCCTATACCCTACAACCCTAAACCCTAAACCGGCAAAAAAAATAAAACCCTGAAACCTTAAAACCTGAACCTAAACCCTAAACCCCTAAACCCTAAACCCCTAAACCCCTAAACCCCTAAACCCTAAACCCTGAACCCCTTAACCCTAATCCCTTAACCCTAAACCCGAAACCCTAAACCCTAAACCCTGAAACCGTAAAACCTGAACCTAAACCCAAAACCAGGAGTTCGCAGTGGATGCAGATTCGAGGAGTGCGCACCGGATGCAAAAAGAGNNGGAGTGCGCGCTGGATGCAAATTGGAGTGCGCACTGGATCACCCTCCCGCCATGATGTGAATCCTCAGTAGTGCTGCGTGAAAAGGAGGGTCTGCAGGCATCGATAAAGTGCATTTCAAGCATGCATAGAGGCATCAGGAAGCAGCACCTGCTTTTGTCTTCCAAACTTCTCCCTAACCTCCTTGTTCAGCGTCTTGCTTATCCTGAAAAAAAGTCCAAAATTTCTCGGGCAGTGGCCATTGTCTTCAGCAAATGCGCAGTTCTTCTCAAAACGCCGATGTGCCCTCGGGCTTCCCAAGCCTGCATGTTGTTGGTCAGAATCAAGGTGGGCAACTCCGCGACATGTTCTTGTTTCAACACCATTGCTCTTTTGGATGATGATCGTGGAAAGGTCTAAAATCTAAAAATCTAAATGTTTTACCGACCATGATGCCCAGGGTATCAGCTGACGTAGCAATGCAATCTAACCTTGCTTTGGCTCCATCAGGGCTTGTCCAGGTGTGTGAGCCACAATAGCGGCGCCAGGAACTCTCAGGTCCGCCTGAAGGAGGTCCAAAAAGAGTGTCCATTGCTATGGCATCTTTCAGCTCCCGCCTGGCGAATCAAGTTGTGTTGAGGAATGCCAATGCAAGGATGGGCATTCACGAACAAAGCACCAAGTCAGAAGGGCTCACGGAAACAAGCGCCCTGCAAACTTTTGTTTGACTTTCAAAGCATCCTCGCATGACGGCATGCCCAAGGATGCAAATGCACGAGAACGAAACACAACATACGCGCGCAACAAGGAAACGTCGACGCGACACGGCCACATGGCAATCCTTCAAGGATAAAGCACATGGTGCACCAGTTGCTGGACAGACTTTTCCAGCGCGAATTATTCGTCAAGATGGGAGCTGGACAAGCCTTTTCGCAGGTTCGGGTAGGGACGAGACTTGATCCTAGGCTGAAAGCATGCAGCTATGGCTGTTGCAGTATGATGGAAGGCAGCGAACCGAACCACCTTTTTGATCAGTTTCGCTCGCGAAGCCCCAGGGTGTGGAAAGATGAGTTCAAAAGGTTGGTTGCCCCATGTAGCCTGATGCCGCGGATTGTAGTCAGAGTTGTTTGTCAGCAACTCCCAGACATTACTGTTTCTACCACATGAAAGTTTCACTTGGCCAACCAACCTGAATTGAAGGTGGACAGGGGTCATGAATCACGTGACTGACGAGGCAGCAGCGAATTCTACATAAGCAGTAAGTTCCATGACTACAACTGCAAAACCTTTGTCTTAAACGTTTTACACAAAAACTGGTTCTCTTGTATCCAAATCGTACTTGCATGGAGAGAGGTCTGTAGTCCAAGGTCCAATGCAGAGGACAAGTAAATGAGGACAGGTGTCATGATCATCATGCTAAAAGCTTGTTTGATGCCAACTTTGGCATGTTCAGTGTCCATAACAGCATAAGTTCAGGATCATCGCAAACCCACACAGCAGCAGCAGGAGCAGCAGCAGTGACAGCAATGATGATGATGCTGGTGATGATGGTAGTTATAGTTGAAAATATCAAGTTCAGCTGCAGACTTGGGGGCTGCTGATCAATTCCAGCGTTCGATTCTCATCAGATGCAGGACGCGGCCGACTTTCAGAACAAGATGGACGGGTACCGTTTTCCGAACTCAGGCTCTGCAAAGGCGAGTTTGTGCCATGTTTGCATTGTTGAGTGCATGACTCATGGAGAAGACTCAGCTAAATGTATGCAGGCCTGCATTGTGGTACCCGCGCACGTGCAGGCTCCAGACAGTGTCTCTTCACAAATCCTTCCATTCAGCTTTGGAGATGGTTGTTGTTACGTACGACTGCCTGACTGTAGAAAGTGCAGGGAGCGCTGAACAACCTCCAAGCTTTCAAGAGGACGGAGGTCATGCGGAGCAACCGCAAACCGTGCTTGGGCAAAGTCAGTTTACCGTCCTCTCTCAAATGTCCGTGACGTGTGCTTTGTAGGATGAACTTGTCTTTTGCCGTGACCCGCCCAGGTTCTTCTCATCCGTCGTGGCATTGTGACAATTCCACGTCGGCTGTTTGTGCACCATGCAACGCAGCCTACTGGGATGAGCGTAACACATACTACAGCATCAGGTGCATCATGTGCATCATGTGCATCATGCCGTCTCTAATTATACCAAACTGGAAGCATAAGTCAAGAGTAGCACAAAAAAGTCAACTCTCAGCCTTCAGGCTGACATCAGCGTTGGCGATTGCAATAATAGAGCTGCTCAAATCTGGCAATGCAATTGCAACAGCGTGGAGTTATGGTAAAGCTTGAATATCCCAACTAGTTCATGATCTACTGGTTCAACACGAGCACAATTTGTTAAGACCTCATCCCTGGCTGGGCCAGTGTCCAAAGGAGTCACTGGGATGGACCCGCGACACAGGGCAAATGATCTGCCTTGGAAGGGATGCAACTATTTTGAACAATTCTGGTGACATCCCTCCGGATTTGAGTGCTGTGTTTTCACTTTCCCCACACATGGCCAGATTATCGCCTCAATGGCCTCAGGGGGTTCATCATGTGATGGCTGGACCGGACCTTCTGCCACGGTCATGGGGAAAGCCAACAGTGCTTGTTTGCGTGCTGGAAATCAGCAGGTGGACTTGGCAACTTGCAGATTTTCCCGTGAAGAGAAGCGAAGCAGCCTTGCAGAAGTACTGTGCAGCGTTCTGTGCGGCCGCACGGCCCCAGTCGCGTTGAACAAAGAACTGCCAAGCCGCCAAGACAACGGCCACAAGAGTGTCGCACTTTTCTCCGTCAGCAATTGAATTGTTGCTGGCTCATAACTCGAACTGATCTTCAAGCTCACCCCCAGTTTCACCAGTGCGTTGCTGAGAGTCTGGCGTACAGCTGCAATGCTTCAGCTGCTCTGGAGCTTGCAAGGTCCTTGCAGGGCGGACAGGGTGTCACTTTTTTTAGCCAATATGAGCTACCAGACACTGATTTGAATCACGGCCCCCTGCATGGGCTTTCTGGGGGGTTTTCGTCAGTTGCCTGAGTGCTCTTGAGGAACAGACCTAAGCCTGCAAAAGGCACAACTGGTGCCTAGGCAGGCTCAGAAGGCATACGTAAGTAGCTGGTTCGAAGATCCTCAGTTTCGAGGACCTGTCCTGCAACGATTGGAAAAAGCGACTTCTCTCAGTGCTGGCCAACGAACTTTGCAGTAACACTGCATAATGCTTTGAACCAGTATGCTGCCATGAGGATTCAATTTCGGTTTTTGGGCAGGTGTGCAGTTGCCTAAATCTACTCCCAACAACACTTCACGTTGGTACATGTTCGTACCATAATCTGCCTAGTTTAGATTGCATCCCTGATTTCGGGCTTTGCTACCGGATGTCAGCAGAGCGTTGCCTCGTTGCCTCCGCCGTTCCGTTGGTGGCTGCTTCGGTTGCAAAAGAGCAAAAGCTGACCATGCAGTGCACGCTGTCGGAATCTGAGCCTTGCGAGGAGCATGGCATGTGGATCAGCTGGGAAGAAGGTCAGCAGCCTTTGATGCCCGAGGGCAGCCAGCTGGGAATTCCACAGTGTGGAAGAGAAGCATGCCTAGATGAGGTTAGCGTGGCCGCTCTCCTCCGCATGTTTTTGCGGGAGTCAGCAAGAGAGTAAAACGATGTTTGAGGTGTTTGGATGCTGCGTGAGTGCTGGTACCATTCTCAGGCCAAATCCAAGTCTACTCGACAAAACGACATTTCCAATTCGGCCGAGGTGGGCTCAGAAGTTTGCGGTTCATCAGATGGCTCGGTGGCTCGGTGGTGTCTTGTGCAGGATCCACCAAGTTCAGCCAGTGCATCAGCCACTGCAGCTAGGCCATGTTGCCCTTGCTTCGTAGTAGCTCTCTCCACCTGCGCTGCCAGGAAAGCCTGACATACGAGGTTGTATGACTTAGAAAGCCCTATCCCAGCGTCAAACGTGAAACGGCCCAATCCTTGGTCTGACGGGGTGGAGTCGGCACTGGCTACGTGGCATCCGCCACACATAGTCTTGCTGTCCAACCTGTGGCCTGGTTGGTCACGTCAATGATTTCTTCAACCTTCGGGTCGGTGTCCTCCGCGAGATTGTGGTACACACGGCTATGTATTCTCGCAGCCTCATTGCAGGTGTACCCTGCACAGAATGCAAAAAGCAAACAGTAGGAAACTTGGTGCACAGCTGTGTGGTCTTGCTAGCCACCCACCAGGAGACCTTCAGGGTATTCTCTTCTGGTTCACATATCGATCCTGATGTTGTGGAAGTTTCGAGCCATCTCCCTTCACAGGAGTCTTTTCGAACCACTCCACAGGCAGTCTTTGTGTTGATGGATACATACGAGGCATCTCCATTGAAGATCACAGCTTTTATTGCTGGAGATCAAAAAAATTCTGATGAATGTATCGCCTTTCGCTCCAGTAACATGATTTGGCTGGCAGGGGTGCGGCACGCAAGCTTCCTGGAATTTCCTGTGGCTTTTCTAGTTCTTCAACCGTCAGACATGACCGATCAATCATCATTGGACATCTGGGCTTCGTCTTGATTTCAAGAGCACATCACTAATTCCATGACATGGGCTTTGTTCGATTGTGGTTGTTGCAATTTGCGTATTCTCTCTTGCTATGGTGGTTGTGGATGTGATGCAGACGCGAGAACGAATCAACTGCTTGACGTGCCAGTTCAGTCTCCTGAATCGTCCAATGGCGAGAAAGCCAACGCTTTGGCAGCAAAGGTAAACCGGTAAACCCAAGTGAAATGCAGACCGCTTCGTCTGCGTGAGTCTTAAGCATTTAGCCTTTGAAGCTGCTGACAGCTGAGCAGGCTACGGATACGAAAGCTAGTCACAGCCAAGTGTTGAATAGGAGCTGTAGTCTCCTTCCTTCGCTTTTGCTTTGGGAGGGTGGGAGGGTTTGTTGTGAAATCCGTTCCATATCATGGTTGTCTTTCGGGCAGGTGTAAGATACACTGAACCTTGGGCCCACGGGAATCTCAGACCTGGATTGATGCCGATTGCTAGGAGCCTACATGTGGAAATTTGTGCTACTCTTCCGGCATGTGTGTTCAGGTTGTCCTTGAAGCGCGTAAGCTTGGACTCTGCTGGTGCTTTGACAGCACTGTGTTCTTGCGCGTGAGAGCCGTCGGTGCTGGGTGTCTTCACCATGGCTTGGCAGCAACTCCGGCATTGACTCCTCATGATGACGCAAACACATAACTTTGGAATGCACACACACACACGAGAACGTGCTGTGCTCGCAGGTTTTGTTTGGATATCTCCTTCGTCTAAGGCACTTGCGATGGGCCTAATCTAGAGATGCTACTCATGGGGAAGAAGAGGAACTGCTCAACAATCTCAACATCCTGTTGCCTGCCAGTTGTCCACCGCAAATGTGCTGTTTCATCACAAGCTGTGATCCTTTGGACCCCTGTGTGCGCTGTCAACAAGTTGAGTCCTCAGGTTGCTGTCAATCCCCTCACCACGTCAGCAGGCAGTTGCAGAGCCTGCGCCGAAAGAACGACGAGACCGCCGCATACGGTTCCCAGAAGGTTTCAGACACGGAGAAACTCGGGAATCCGAGCCATGGCAGCCTTTAGAGCAAAGTTGCAGCCTGTCAATTCGTTACTCGGAGCTGCTGCAAACTAATCCGTGTAATGTCCAGTGACCAAGGTGTTTGCACAGTGAGGAGGTGCGGGCAGCCATCGAGCTGATTTCCCCACTTCATTTCCTTACGGCTTTCGCCGGAAAGGCTTGGATAAAGGAGCAGGTGGAAGAGCTGAAGGCTGGCAAACCTGAGGCACCAGCATGCCTCATTGAGGGTCATGCCTAAATAGAAAAGTTTCAGAATTCCAAGACCGCTGCTGCTGCTGCTGCTGCTGCTGCTGCTGCCACTGCTGCAATTTCCCGGTATCAATTCTACGTCCTTTGCTCATGTTTGGCTAGTTTTTTCACGAAAGCTAGCTCCTTGGAGATTTTCGGTAGTTTGTGGTTTACCATTTGCTTTGGCTGGGTCACCGCCCACAAATGCTCTTGGGCTCCGATTTACCAATAGTTGAAGGGTTGGGCGGGGGCCTCCAGAATTGACTCGTCAACACGGAGGCCCCCTACTGCTGCAAAGATGGAGATTCGGAGAGGGCGGGACCCCTGAAAGCCTGCCAAAGCACACTCGAGACAACTCTACAAGAAGGTGGTTAAAATAGAGTTCTTTCAAAAGTAGAAGTATAGGATGTATGAGTTCCCACGGAGCATTTATTCTAATCAAAAAGTTAGCAGTCTTTTTTCTCCTTACTTGTTTCAAGCATGGCGAAGCGGCGAAACCGGTCAAATCTTGATACCAACGCTCTGGCAACCTCCAACGCGCGGCATCAGCAGACTGCACCTGCCGCGTGCCAAAAAAGCATGTGCATTCAGCAGCTGCCTTTGTAGTTCTAGCTTTTGTCCCCATGCTCTCAAGTAGTCTGGTGGATGCGTTCGTAGCATGTGTGTTTTGCGTGAGGCAAAGCCCAGCTGGTCACCAGAGCAGGTGCAGTGTTCACTGAGGCCGGCGTGTTGGAGTCCTCACAGTTTGACTCAGCAAGCAGGTCATCTTAGCAAGAAGGGTTGCATGAAGAAAGAGCCAGATGGCACGCTAGAGGTAAATTTGAAGTATATCTATGAAATGGGCCTGACCATGCCCGCAAAAACGTGCCGATAGGTTGTGGCTATTTAGAGTCCTTGAATGGACTCAGATCTCGCTTCTGTGGGTGCTGATTTGCGCATCCCTCGCCTTCAAGCCTATATTTCCCGAAGATCTTTGTTTGCCTTTCCTCGGGGCTTGAAGCATACTTATGGGCTGCTGCTTAAAAACTCGCAGCACGAGGGAAAGAAATGCTGATCCATCTTAATTTTCTCGCATCCTCAGGACCGTGACCATGTTGGTTGGGTGCTAAGCCACACGGACGAGTATTGTGCGTAAGGTCACCTCAACTGTCAGGGTGGTGACAAGATGAGGTTATCGTTCAGAACCTTTCCTTCTTCCTTTTGTTCCGTCCTCAATTGGGGTCAACATCCCCGTTCAGCACGTGCTTGTATAGCAAAGGCTGGTGCCTTCTGCTCTCAGTGAGTGCCAGCGCTCTCCTTGGCTTTGCTTCACCTGCTAGCTTCAGATGGGTGTTGGCAAGTCTGAGGGAGCATCGCACGTGCATGCCAATCATGAGCATGTTGGCCTTGGTGCTCTGGCCTGCTTGCAATCAACCCTAGCTGCAAGAATAGTGGATGTTACAGCACGATATGGACAGTTTCTTGACGTGACCATCTTCACCGGGCATCTGATGCTGGGATATTGTGAGCCAGCGTACAGGCCTGGGAAGCTGTGTCATGCTGTGTCGGTATGTTGCTGCAGACGCAAAGCTGCGGCAAAGCTGCGGGCAGGAAGGAGTTCCCGACCAACAACTTCTGGGTTCTGACGGTGCGCAGATCAGAAACCAAATGATCCTGCGCAAGCTGCATAGATATTGCAAGGCATTGTGGTCCATCTGGAACATGTTGTCACATCCCTTTTGGCGAGACAATGTTATCGATTTGTTTGTGGCAGGGGCCCAAGAGAGACAACAGAAGCAACAGAAGTTCAAGAGCTTGGGATGTCTTTCTGCAAGCCCAGTCCGTTCCAGTGCTTTTAGGTCTGGCCGCCCGAGCTGCACACGGTTCTGAACGTTACAGCTATCGTGGTGCCAGACTGAGCCAAGAGCATACTTGCGAAATCGTGCGAAGAAGTTGAAAAGCAAACGCAGAGGTATGCTCTGCAACGCAGATCATGCCATCATGGAGGTGGGGCCCTACAGCTTCAGAAACATAACAGGATTAATCACCTTCGAGTCGTGCTGGCCAGCAGGCACCTGGCATGCATGGTCATGGGTGAGTTCTTCTTAAGCCTGGCACTTTCAGCTGCGGAGGCAAGTTCATGATTCAGTGCGTGTCGGAAAGAGAGGGTGTGCAATGCATGACCTCTCCTTTTTCAAACAGCTTCAAACAGGCGGGTGTCAAAGCTGATCACGGGTATTGCGCAAAACTTGTCACGGCAAACTTTTGAAAACTTGCACGTCCCATGCAGCCAACCAACTGCAACCCCCAATCCGTGACTGCAAGGGCCCAAACAAAAGTCAAGGAACTGTTTATGCCCTGTGGCTTCTCCGCAGTATGCCAGAGCAATTCAAGCTTCGCCAACACCGACGCTACAATACTTGTGCCGCTGTAGCACTACTACTGCATGTGGCGGTGGCGGTGGCACGCCATCATTTGACGTCGTTTACAGGCTTTTAGGATTTTGGGTTTAGAGTTGTTTAGGGTTCATTGTTTGGGCTTCTTTGGGGTTTAGGATTTGGGTTTGGTGTTTAGGGCTTCTGCTTCTTTGCCTTTTTAGCGCTCATGCTTAGGGTTCAGAGTTCGGGGTTATGTTGGGTTTAGGGTCTGGGGTTGTTCAAGATTTAGGGTTCGGGCTTCTTTCGAGTTCAGGATTAGGTTTTAGGGTTCAGGGCTGTTTACGTTTTAGGGGCTTCAGATCCTTTAGGGTTTGGGGATGTTTCTGGCTTTAGGCTTTAGGGTTGCGAAAGGTTCAGGGTTTTGGGGTTTCGGGGTTTGGGGGGTTCAGGGTTTGGGTTTTCTTGGTGGCTAAGCGTTGAGGTTCAGGGTTTAGGGTCTGGACCTGTTTGGAGCTTGGACTTTGGGCTTGGGTTGTGGTTTAAGGTTTGGGCCTTTGGGTTGTTTAGGGTTTGGGTTTGGGGTTTGCTTAGAGTTTAGGGTTTGGGGTTGTTGATAGGTGCACTGGCCTGGATGGGTTTGGGTTGCACTGATTTGTGATTCCGTTATTCGTTCTCTCAACGAGAGGCTTTGTGGGCACCAGGTTTGTTTACTGGGGTCCTCTGTCTCCTGAGCCTGAGCTACGGGTAGGGACCTTCGGTGTTCAGGCCATTCTAAACATGCACAAGTATAGACATGCTTCGAGCAATGGCCCTTGCCCGATCTCAACGCGACTCAGCATGCCTGCTTGTTCCAAAAGATTGCTGGACGCCATGCCAACTGAGGCCGTTGAGGTTCTAAAGGCAAATGGATTTTTTGGATGACTTCGACCTAAAAGGTCTTACCTGAAAGGAGGTCCAAAGTCTGGCCCCGTGCTTCCTGCAGAGCTAGCTTCGACCTGCATTCGCATTGCCGCACTGCATGGTGGACCAGTTGGTCGTGCACCTAGCTCCGCATCGAATGTCTCTGAGCCACTCCGTGATGTTCCTTCAGTTATTCAGTGGAAAAAGGGTGTAGCCTTGAGAACCCCAACTCAGGGTGACAAGTCACCCATGGTCAATGAGTGTTGGACTATCTTTGAGCATATGGGGAGACGAGGTCTGAGGTCTTAGATGGAGCCCCTTGATGGAGAGCCAACGTGAGAGTGCACGTGTTGTCCTTTCCAACTCTATGGAAGGAAACGAGGAATCTTCACTTAAGGGCCATTTTGCTGCATGGCGTAGATGGCTGGGCTTTGTCAGGCAGTTCTTGCCTGAGTCGGCTGATGCTACAGACCCGTCGCTCGAAGCAACTAATGCATTCCTGGCTGACCAGGCCCCTCGAGGCCCCACTGTTGCCAAGGGCTTGTTCCAACAGCTTCTTTGGTGGCGAACACATGTGGGGGTCCCTTTCCCGTTGCTTGGCCCGCTTCTTGGAATTGCCTTCCTGAAGGGTATATAGCCTCGCAGCAGGAGCCCCTCAAAGTGGCGGATGCTTATGCCCTTTGCAGATTGGCTACCTCGTCCCAAGCTACGAAGGGCCGCGTTTTGTGGGTTCTCACTCTTGCCGTTGGTCGCCTGCCTCAGATTCGCACATCTTCAGCGGAGTGTGACTGTGCATCAACAAGGTCCGTTCCTCTGGGCCACATGTATCAGAGGTAAGTCCAAGGTTCAGGGCACTCGACCCCCCTTTGAAAGTGGGCCTGCCCTTTATCCTTCCTGGATTTCAGCAATGTCTTTGAGCAAGCCTTGCGCGTGCGCCGTGACTTGATTGCAGCCTGCCCTTCTGCAAATTTTGTTGTGCCCGATATTTAAGTCCGGGAACAGCCGTCAGGGCCCATGCGCCTGGATGCATGGCAAGCTTGCGCTTCCCAAGTTGTGCACTTGCTGAGGGATGTCCAGTGGCGCCTAGGTTCAGGATCCGCAGAAGTGCAGTCGGTTTGTAGCCATTCCTTGCGCCGCTTTCTGCCCACCTTGGCTGATGTCAACAGATGCCCAGACATTCATTCTTGCCCTCTGGGCTACTGGGTGGAATCAGTCAACCTAAAGCGCGTGCCTACGAAGCAGAAAAGTATGCATCAGCGCTATGCTGATGAGAAGGTGGCCACTGCAGCAGACTCCAAGGCCAAGCTGCTTCAGCTTCTTAATGAGTTTTGTAACGAGTTTGAAGCAGGTGGAGAATTCCTAGAATCTGGTCAAGATGAGGGTCTTTGTACTGTGAGCGCAGTTGATAATAATAGGGCCTCAACGGATTTTTTGGAAACCTGCCTTAGTGAACAAAGATTTGATTTTCAGTCATGTTTGGAGGTGCTGCGAACCTATATGGTTAAGTTTCCAGTCCCTAGACGTCGAGGTTTGGAAGGGGATGCTGCGTATGCTATCTTGGGGCTGTATTGTCACGGGGGTATGCGTGGTATCACTTCCTTTACGAAGCGACGTGAGGGCATTGTTAGATACTTGAATGGGTTTATCGCGCACCATAATCCCATGGGTCGTTGGGCTGCAATCTACCTTTCCAAGAATACCACCATGCCGTTACATAGAGATTCCCGGAATGCAAGACAAGGGAAAGCTTGGATTGTCGCGCTGGGCGATTTTATAGGGGGTGGCTTGTGGGTGGCTACTGAAAATGGCGCAGGACCTTGCCTCAGGAGACTGCCGGATGGGCATCTTAAGGCCGGTCAAGTGCTAGACATCCACGAATGTCCCCAAGTGTTTGATGGCTTAGGGTGGCACGGCGCTGAGCCCTGGTATGGGAATGATAGGTGGGTGGTTGTAGCCTATACCCCTCTTAATTCCCCCGAAGCCTTCACACATAACAAGCAGTCTTTAGCTGATCTGGGTTTTCCTTTGCCTGGCGTTCAGCATTTGGGAACGGAACTCCATGCAGGTGGTATGGAAGGTTTGCGCCCTCAAAAAGTTCGTAGAAGATTCATCAATTTCAAAGTTTAAGGTGAATCCAGTATCGATTGCTGGAAACATCATTGAGAAGGGGCAGTTGCGCTCCAAGGGAATTAAGGAACAAAGTTCCTGGGTCGTGGAATTCCCTCATGAACTGAGCTTGACCTTCGAGGATGGGGTTAGGTTGCATCAAATATCTTTGGGGTGTTGCCTTCAGTTGGCTCAGGAATTGCCCGGGTCAATGATTGAGGGTGATGGGTTTGAAGTTGTACGTCTGATGAAGGTTGCTCGACTTGAAGTCATGATGCTTCCAAACAAAGAGCCAGCCAGAGCCTTTCGTGGCAAGTCTCCTGGGGCCGGCGCTTTTCTGCCCCCATGCAACTACCTGAGGTTGAGCTCGTGACATGCGCTGAGGATAAGTCATCTCATTCATCCAGCGAATCCTCTTCCTCCTCCTCAGACCCCCGTGCCTGTGCATTGGTTTCGACTTGGTGGCCCGAACGCGGTGGTCCATTTGCATCGAGCAGCTGCCGTGGAGCTTGTGCTGGTGTGCAGGTCAACCCTCTTCCCTTATAAATCCGATGTCACTACAGGTGTTGGAGTCACGGATGGCGCAAATTGTGCCAGCATTGCGTAGCTTCTGCCCCTGACGGGCTCCTCAAATCTGTTAGGCAGTGCCGAGCTCTTGAGTGAAATCAGGTGCGATGTTGTTTGCCCGCCCTTGCAGTTTTTCAGTGTTGGTATTCATGCCCATTTTTGGGATCAAGTTGGCTTTAGCCTCAGTTGGAAGCATGCAGCGGCCTGATGCCTTTGTCTTCACCTTCGTCGACCTTGTTCGATGGCCATAGACTATGCGCGTTGCAAGGTTCTGATTAACACCAAGATTGATGTCGACAAGTTCATAACCACACGCACCCCATGGCCCAATGCTGAGCAAGAATGCTTTCTTGGAAAATCGCGATGGTTCTTCACCCAGCAAAAGATTGAAGAACAATGTTTCAGACCTTTTTTTTTATCAGGCCAAGCTTTAGCAAGAAGAGCAAGGCTTCTGGTTCAGGATGCTGTTGACAGTGACCCAGTTGAGTTGAAAGCCCTAGCCATCAAGGAGGGGCGTGTGAAAAGGGACTTGCTTCGAAGGATCATTCACCGACTACGGAGCGAGGCTGGCGACGCATTGGTGTGGTGCCTCAATTGCGGTGCTACCATGGTGTCGGCCGGAAGATTCTTGGATCAAGAGAGTCTGGGTACGCCCCGCTCTTTTGATTCTGAAATCCTCACTGATGTTGAGAACGAATCTACGGATGAACAGATCACTCAGCAAGCGGTGCCAGATGAAGAGCTCGATGATGCGGAGATGCTGTCCATTGAGGAACAAGCAGCCGGAATCGATATCGAGAACATCGAGGTTGAGCCCGAAGGGGTTGATCAGTATGGCAAACAAGAGGACTACTCAGATGAGTACCTCACCGTATCGAGCAACAAAGCCACAAATCCTCCCGCTCTGTGCTTGAACACCGAGGAGGTGGCCAAGGTCTTCGACGAGGTGCTCGCCTACCTCATCTTCCAACGCAAGGATGTGATTGATGACTATGTGGCACTTAGCTTCAAAGGATGAAGGAAAGAAAGGATGAGTTCCATACTCCCTTTGCCACAAAGCCTTTCCATTGCCCGGCGTTCCTGGATGAGGAATCCAAACTTCCTCCGCAAAAGATTAATACTTCGAATGGCTCCGTGGGGAGGCCTTGATAGTGTACCAGAAAGCCAGAAAAGAATGGATGATCAAGAAAAAGTACATTGTGCGATACAGCTCCCTGTTGTAATGCGAGAACTTTTGCCACAGCTATGAGGCAATTCGTGTCCAATCCCATCTTTGGGACATCTATGTTTGCGCGTATTCCACAATGAACGGCAGGGAGCATCTTGCGCCGCCCATTGCTGTGAGTTCGGAAGGATACCGAGAACTTCGTCCCAACCAAGGCGATGGACATCGAAACATCATGAGCGCGAAGGTTCGGTCGCTCCTTTCCAATGCACTCGGGGTGAAGAAGTTCACGTACGTTGCGTGCCGGAACATGCCCAAAGATCCCACGCGCAATGGTACGTTCCACGTCTGCGTTGAAGGACTTTTCGAAGCACAGAAGAAGCGGGAACGTCTTCATCCCGAAGTGCTTCACATCGGGGTGCAGATGGGTGCAAATTTTGGGCCAGAGTATTGCAAGTTCTACAAAGAGAGGTTCGTTGATGTGGTCAATGGACAGCTCCGGAACAAATCGCTTTGGAACAATGTGAAGGAGTGGCTTGGGAAATCGCGCGCATCCACGTTCTGCTCTGGCGTTGGGCAGATCACTGATGATGCCAGGAATTATGGAACACAGTACGATCCAAATTTTGATCTCAACGCAATGGACGATTGATGGCTTCATCATGAAGTCCCCTTCTTTTCCAATCGCCAATTTGTCGTGCTATGGAAATGTCTCGGTACCCTAGGTTCGCCCTGGTACAATCAATCCGTTTCGCAATGCTCGGTCTAGGTTCGCCCTGCCGATGAAGTCTCATAGCTTACCGATTTGCTACTCTGTCTAATGTTGATGTGCAACAGTGGTGCTTCCGTTTCCGACTCATTCAACAAGTTGTAATTCGCCGTGGGGGGTGTTAAATACTACGCATGTGCCCTCACATTATGGCGAGCAACTCAGGTAGCAATTCATGGTTTGTGCAAGGAGGTTAATAAATGGGTTTGGCTCAAGCGCCCCTTAAGCTGTAGAAGCATTGGGAACCCCATCATAGCTACGCCATTCACATTGACCTACCTTACAGACCTCGCGGAGCTTTGAAATCGGAGATTCAAAACAACGAAGTACAAGCTTTGGGCTTCGCTGGCGTGCAAGTGTGTTACAATCAAAGCCAGTCGCCCTCTTACAACTACTAGCAGTGCTACTACTACAACGACTACGACGATTATTATTACGTGCAGAACCCCTAATTCGCCCACATTCTGCCCGCACTCAGCCAACCTTTGGGTTTGTTTAAAGTTTAGGAGTTGGGTTGCTCAGGGTTTTGGGATTTTTTGAGCTTTTGGGTCTGGGGCTGTTTAACTTTTAGGGCTTGGCATTGCTTAGGTTTTAAAGTTCGAGGTTGTTTGGGGTTTAGGTTGTTAAGGGTCTAGGGTTCGGGGTTGTTGGGTTTGGTATTGTTTTTGGTTTGGGGCTTCTAAAATTTTCACGGTTTGGGAATGTTTGGGGTTTCGTAGGGTTTGGGTTTGGGGTTGCTTTGGGTTTAGGGTTTGGGGTTGTTTTGGCATTTGTGTGGATTTAAGGTTCGAGCTTCTTTTAGGGCTTAGGGTTGAGGGCCAGGGTTTAATGTTTGTGGCTGTTTATGGCTTGGGCTTTCGGCTTTTTTTAGGGTTTGGGGTTGCTTAGGGTTGCTTTGGGTTTAAGATTTGGGGTTCTGTTGGCATTTGCTTAGGTTTTGCGGCTTGGGCTGGCTCAAAGGTTGATGTTGCTCAGGGGTGGTTCGCCCACCGGTTCAGGGTTTTGGGTTTTTTAAGGATTCAAGTTTGCGCTAGTTGGGGTTCAGGTGTTGGTGTTGGCGAACGGGCGTAAGTACTGCTTGCCAGTGAATTTTGCACATGGGCGCCAATGGACTTGCAACACAATGACTTTGACCAGATTAAAATCCGTAGAGGGTCATCATGTCTCTGGCAAATTGTCAATTTTGATGTGAAACTGCATAACCGTCGGAGGCCCGAAGCATTGCCCCTGCCAGTGAATTTCTGCAACTAGGCGCAGGGGAACCACAGCCCCGGTAGTAGTAGTAGTAGTAGTAGTAGTAGGCGGCGCACGTCGCGCCAGCGACGGTGCATTATTATGCATTTCGGGGTGCAACAATACTGTGCTCACCAGCATGTTTAGAGGGACAGGGCATGAGTTGGGGGGGTTGGGAACTACTTGTTTTGAAGAGTTTGGTTTTCGGAGCTTGTTGTGCTTACAGTCGTCACGAACGTCACGAGCGTAGTACTCCCCTTGCTATAACACTCAGTTAGGGCTTACGGTTTAGGGTTTAGGTTTTAGGTTTAGGGTTTAGGGATTAGGGTTTAGGAATTAGGGTCTAGGGCTTAGGGTGCGGCTTATGGTTAGCTTTAGACCTTAGGGTTTAGGATGTTTGAAAATTTGAATGTTTCAGAGGTTCGTTTTCGGAGCTTGCTGTGCTTAGTGTCTTCGCGACCTCAGGAACCTAGCAATCCCCTTACTAATACTCGGACAAGTTTTCTCACAAGGTTTTTTAAGTTTGTGAGATTTGTTTTCGGAGCTTGGGTTGTGCTTACGAACGTAATCCCCTCCCCGCCCCACCCCCTCCCATCCCCACCCTCGCACCCACACCACCAGAAACGCGAAGGTAGCAACGTTGTGCAGTTTTTCAGAAAAACCCATCCCCTCCCAGAAATGTCAAAATGAGGCCAAAACCACTGTAAAATCGACTTGAAGTTGGGAAAAACCTACCGTCAGCTACGCGACGTTCCCCTAGCAGTAGTAGTAGTAGTAGTAGGCGTCCCCCCCCTACCAACTATGTTGGTTGATATTTTCACTACCAGAGCTTTGGGGGGAGGGGGGAGGGGGGGGGAGGGGGCGGATAATTG